CCAATTTTACAGTCTTATAAATGTGAATGTTAACATGTCAATATGAATATTCACATTGTAAACAGGCCGGGACGGGCCGGGCCTGCGGGCCAATTTTACACCCCTATCAATGTGAATGTTAACATGTCAATGTAAATATTCACATTGTAAACGGGTCGGGCCCGCGGGCGGGTTTCGGGCCGCCTACGAGCCGCGGGTCAATTTTACACTCCTATCGACGTGAATGTTAATATGTTAATGTGAATATTCACATTGTCAACGGGTCAAACCGGGCCCGCCCCGTATAACCCACGGGCCACGGGCGGGTTTCGGGCCGCCCATGGGCTGCGGGCCAGTTTTATACTTATATCAATGTGAATGTTAACATGTCAATGTGAATATCCACATTGTCAACGGACCGGGCCCACCCCGGTTCGGGGGCAAGCTTCAGACCGCCTACGGGACACGAGCCAATTTTACATTCTTACCAATGTGAATGTTAAAATATGAATATTTATAGCCCGCCGCGCTCCAGGCAACGGGCGGGCTTCGGGCCGCGGACCAATTTTACATTCCTATCAATGTGAATGTTAACATGTCAATGTGAATATTCACATTGTAAACGGGCCGGGCCGAGCCTGCGGGCGGGTTTCAAGCCGCCTACAGCCCGTGGGTTAATTTTACACTCCTATCAACATGAATATTAATATATTAATGTGAATATTCACATTGTCAACGGAACGGGCAGGGCCGGGCTCGCCTCGGACAGCCCACGACCCATGGGCTGGTTTCGGGCCGCCCACGGGCCGCGGACCAATTTTACACTTCTATCAATGTGAATGTTAACATGTCAATGTGAATATTCACATTGTCAACGGACCGGGCTCGCCCCGGCCCGGGGGCAATCTTCAGACCGCCCATGGGCCACGGGCCAATTTTATATTCTTATCAATGTGAATGTTAAAATATGAATATTTACATTATAAAATTGCTAACCGTTCAAAAAATATTTGTAAGGGTATCAAAATTAAATATAAGGGCATAAGAGTCTAAAAAAAGAGTGTAAATCAAGAAAAAAGACTTTATGGAATAAAACTATACATACATAGGACGAAATGGGTTAATAAATTTCTTAATGAACTTTTTGGGTTAAAACACTTCTAAATGTGATTTATCAATAAAAATCCTTATTTAGGACTTATAAATTATGAAATAGATCATTATAGTTTTAAATTTATATTGTGTCAATTTTAAATTTAAATTCATATATTGCTTTTCATATTTAGTGACCCTTAAATTTGAATTTTGAAATGGATTATTATACTTTTCATTTTTTTTAGGATTTGATATATACTTTCCATTTGAAGTCATAAATTAAGAGATGTTAATTTTTATTTATGTATTTATTTATACTTGAATAAGAGCGCAACTCAATAGAAGATTTTTTTAATTTTTGAAAATCAAAAAATTATAAAATTTAAATTGAGAACTTGGATTAGTATATTTTTTATCTTTCTAGATTTGATATACTTTTCATTTAAAAGTCATAAATCAAGGGATATTAATTTTTATTTATTTATTTATTTATTACTTGAATTTATTTTTAACTTGAATAAGAGCTAGCCAATAGAAGATTTTTTTTAATTTCTAAAAATCCAAAAATTGGGAAATTAGGAACTTGAAACTCCCACAAAACTTATGGGTTAGAAACTCCATTTTCCTTATATAATATATAGATAGATAGATAGATTGCATTTGAAGTTATTATTATAATAATAATAAAAAAAAGGGAGATCTACAATATTAATTAGAGTTCAAATAGCAACACTCTTAGCGTGTATTTGGTAACGTTTACGTTTTCAGTTTATATTTACAAAAATTTTATAAGCTGGTTTTTTTTTTTGGTTTATTTTTAAAAAAACATAAACTACAAACGCGTTTGGTAATTGAAAAAATGTTTAAAAAATTTTAAAAATATAAAAAAGAGTGAGAAATGGCAAGTGGTGGCAAGTGGCGGCAAGTGGCGGCGGAAGACGGTGGTGGAAAGTGGTGACGGTGGGTGGTGGGTAGCTGGTGGTGGTGGTGATGTGGGTGGGTGGGTGAAAGTGGTAGGTGGTTGGCGGATGGCGGGTGGTGGTGGGTGGGTGGCGATGTAGATGGGTGGTGGGTGACGGTAGTGGGTGGTGGGTGGTGGTGGCGGCGGGTGGTGGTGGTGGTGCAGGTGGGTGGCGGGTAGGTGACGGGTGGTGGTGGTGGGTGGTGGGTGGCAAGTGGGTGGCGGGTGGGTAGTGAGTGATGGTAGGGTGGCGGGTGGGTGGTGGTGATGGTAGCGGTGGGTTGTCCGGTGGATAGTGGTGGTGGGTGGCTGGAGAAATGGCAGGTGTGGAATGGTGGTGGAAGGTGGGTTGGTAAGTAGTGGTGGCAAGTAGGTGGCGGTGGTGGTGGCGGACGGTGGTTTGGTAGTGACAGGTGGCGGGTGGTGACGGTGGATGGCAGGTGAGTGGTGGGTGGTGGTGACGAGTGGATGGCGAGTGAGTGGTGGCTGGTGGGAGGCTAGCGGGTGGGGTGGCAGGTAGGTGGTTGTGGTGGTGACAGGTGTGTGGAGGGGTGGGTGGTGGTGGCGGAAGACGGGTGGTAAAAAATGGTGGCGGGTGGTGGCTAGTGTTGGGTGGTAAAAAAAAAAAACTGAAAACTCAAAATGGAAACACAGTTTTTGTGTTTACATTTTTTGGCCAAATTTATAAACTGAGACCACTGATTTATAAATCAAAAATTTTACCAAACAAGTTTTTATTTGAGGTTTTTAAATTTTTGTAAATATAAGCAGAAAACTGAAAATATAGTGTTACCAAACGGCACCTTAAAATTTGTTCCAAAATATATATATATATAAGAATCGCTTGCCTACTTGAGGTTCGTCTTTCTTTTTTTTTCTTTGATTTTGTTCTTTTATTTTGAATAATTTACTAATGGTGACCCATATGTTGAGTGAATATTTTTTCGTAATTATGCAAACATTCTTAGTCAATTATGAAGCAGGTTTTTTTTTCGTAATTACGCAAATATTCTTAATCAATTATGAAGAGTACTGTTATTAGCATCCCATAAATTATTTTGGACTGCCAATTTTTAGCTTTTTTTATTACAATAATAACATCAAATAAAATTACTACAAATGACATCATTAATTTTGTGATACCACATCTCACAATTAAACCTACACATCCACTACATCATGAATTAGGGTTTATGAGAGCACTCACCTCCATCACCACCCCATCCATCTTTCCCAAGTCCTACCTTCAAAACCTACCCACCCTCAAAACCTTGAAAACCCTTGGGCGACAATATTCCGACGATAACGGTGGCAACCATTTGATTACCTACACTTTTTACGGCTATGACAATGAATGAAATTTTTTACAACTCCATAAGACGAGAGGAGTACAATAATAAAAGCTTAGATGTTGTTCTTAGTTTAGATGAGATTGGCCTTGTAAGGGTAAGTTTCTTAAAAAAAATAGCAAAAATAATAACATAGTACATCATTTTTTCGGAAACTAAACTCCTTAACATATGACCAAAATTCGGGAACATAGGCAAAAACATTGTTTATTTGTTCGGGAACTGATAACCGAACATTGATTTTGAACTTTTTGTGATCTGAGATGAGTCTAGAATGATGAAAACTCAAAGAACTGGACCGTTTTAAAAGCTGGGAATCGGAGATTTTAATCTCCGAGAAGTGATTGTATGATAGGTTAAGACACGCAAGATTGGTGACAACCATAGACAAGTTTTGTATTGAAACATTTCTTAAAAGATTATTGTGGCTCAAATCAAGAGCTTGGATTTGAGAACAATGAAAAATATTAGATGAGAAGTTGATTAAATCGGCAGAGATAGTATTCTTCTTCTTTCTTTCTCTTCCTCTTTTTCTTCGTGGGTTTTGAAAAAGATCAGACTCTTTTTTCTTCTTAGTGAGTTTTGTTAGGATTTTTTGGAAAGGAGGTTTTTTTGGAGGTGTGGGGGGTGTGCATTCAATGAGTGAAATGTTTAAAGATAATTTTGACATTATTTGGAGAGAGAAAAGAAATTTTAAGGATTACAAGTGAGGATCTAAAGAAATGGAAGGTCTAAAATAATTTATGAGGGTGCTAATAACACCACTCATTATGAAATATAAATCTTTTATTTTTTAACAAATTACTAATACATCCAAGATTTGTTAAAAATACGAATCGATCATATAATACTAGAAATTACAACTATCGTTTATTATAAATTTTAATTTAACACAATATTGAGAGGGAAAAAAACTATTCTCTTATGCAATAATAAATTATCAAAATTATTTATTGAAAAATATTTCTCATAGCATTAAAAACTGTTAATTGACTTAATGATCTATTTATTAACAAAACGATTAACTGAAAAACATTTTTTATATCATTAAAAATTATTAATTTACTTAATTATTTACTTATTAATAAAACTAATCATTTATTATGCAAGTATGATTTACGTATGTATTAATAAAAATAGTTATTTGTATATTTGTATATATATATATATATATATTTCTTCTGCTTCTTTATTAGAAGACAATGTGATATTACAATTAGGAACTTGTATAAAAATTTATGAGAATGTCAATGAAGCAGTTGAACTGAAATGTTTACATTAAATCTTTTCATCTCTATTTTTTGGTTGTTTTACTTGTCTATGAATTGCACTGCAAACTCTTTTAAGAACTCAACATGACACAATAACTGCTTGTTTTAACACACCATACTCGGCTGGATCTAAAAATTTGGCTGATATGCATATTTTACATCAACACTTACAAAACAACATTCAAGAAAACATGCAGCAACTGAAATAATTTGGAAAATTGATGACGAAAATAGCAATAGTCATCTCAAAATTCTAGCAGGCCATGTCTGATTGATCGCCTTCAGCAAATATGAACATAATACAAACTAAACTTTCAAAACAAAGCCAACCACATTCATTACTCATTAAGGAAGACAAAACCCGTGTTATTCAACTAGAAGATTACACAACAGTACGCTGATTGGCAGCCAAAAGTGCATCAACGTCTCAGAAACATAGAAAATCAATTCAAATACAAATACAATAGGACACCCAACATTAAAAATAATTGGGTTGCAGTCCAACAAAGCTAAAACATGAATTAGACTCCGATGCATAGCATTAAAACACCGGATACAGACACGGTCAAACCGAGTTAATCCTAGACGGAAATGGCCAACAAAAACAAGGGCCTATTCCCACAAGCAGCTTTAACAAAAATCAGCCACTAAATAATAGCATGGAAGAAAATCCTCCCTTATATACACCTCCCACCAGATCTATATAAACACAATGCTTCAGCCACCAGATGTATATAAACACAATGCTTCAGCCATAGTTTTTTTTGGTTTCCAAAACTACTTTGAACCATTGAACTATACAGTACACCATATCTACAACAGAGCTTGTTCATAACCAAAAACAACTCTGTTTCAACATCATAACTCCATCAATTACAACACCTAGGACATTACTCCCAATCTCCACATCACCTTAAATATGAGCTCATGTACAGCCTTGCCCCTATATCAAGAGGGCCACCATCTCCACCAACTGCATGGAGGGCAATAGGTATTGTTGAGAACAGGCTCACTGTGAGGGGAAACACGGGAGGTTCAATCTCAATACCATCTGAAAATTCAGATTTTGAAATGGATACACCAGTATCCCCTACTGTTTGTGATGCAAAACTAGTGCTTAGATCATTAATTGCTTTTGCGCCACCCCTGTTACCACTATCTCCAGGAAAATCAAATGCCAAGTCAAATGGGCTCATTATTAAAGCAACATCTTCAAGTGTCCTGCATTTACCTGGGCTACCTCTCCTTTGGAGGCGCTTATGTGTAGATAAATTGAGTACCAATGTGGACGTAGCATCGAGCCATTCTACCATCAGGTCTTCAACTTCATCATAATATATACGCTGCTCAATCTAGTTTGCATGTTTACAAGCAGGACACAAATCAAGAAAAAGTTTCAAACATACCCACCAACTCAACACGAAAGGGGATGGGGGCGGTTGGCAACACAGAGAATTGAAGTAAAAAAACGGGGAAGAAAAAGAGAAGGTTGTCTGGAAACTACTCACAGCTAACTTGTGAACATATATAGACATGGATCTTGGCCCAAGGCCCAATACCCTTGCTTCAGTCAATAAAATCTGCATAAGGCAAGGAAATAACCAGTCAGAAAGATTTTGAACAGAGAAGCAAATAAACCCTAGATAAATCTAAAAGAAACCTATTTTTAGCATCACATAACATCTTTTCAGATTATTAATTCCGACTATAATACATGCATCTTTCTAGTCATTTTATTATAACAAACTTAACTTCTGCATCAGAATGGCTCCTTGTGCCGTGAGCAGTAGCTATAACAAATTCACTGAAACCTTCTTTCAATTGGTGTTATAAGGACATGAACATGATGATGGCTTATAGTGTTGGCAATTTACAAACAGAGGAGTACGCATGAACACAGTCAAATTGTGAATCGTTTTGCCAAAGTAATGAATTGTAGATTATATCCTTCATTTAAAATAAAATAAAATAAAATAAAAAATTGTGATATGTAATCTCACATATATATGGATTTACAAATAAAACCACATATATAATGTTTAAATGAAATAAAAAAATAAGTTGGGGGCATTACCATTGAAGTTGTGAAGGTTTAGGGTACATCAATAGTTACACCAGATGATAAAATTATGTGGGGCCACAGATGAAAAAGCTTGTGGACCCTAGTCTTGCCAGTGTACCATTGGATCCATTTCAAGAGGCATAACATCTCAAACTTCTCAACAGAGTTGAGTAAATCAAGAACTTATCCAATCAGAAAATGAAGAACTACCCACCAAAAAGATAGTGAAAAAAAAATTAAAACTAAAACAAACAAAACTGAAAAAGAGAAGAAAGAAACCATCAACAGAACTTGAATTCATGAAGCAAACATCTAATTAGCATTTTTAAAGAAATGCATACCCCTAACAATGAATTACACAAATTAATGCGCAAACGCAATGGTAACAAGGGTTTTCCTTTAAAAACAATCCGTACAGATGCACTACTATATCAGGCATCCATACCCATCTACATTTAACAATCATGGCTAGATCACCCATAGCTTCATCTACACCTCTTCTTTTTTTTTTAAATAACTCAGCCACTGCAGTCTATAGATGCTTGTATGAGTTTCCCTTATCTTAACCTCCAAAACACTTGTCACACAACTAGTTAATGCCACTCCTCAGACTCTCTCTAACACCTATGAAACATGTGTCCATATGAATCCAAATATTTTTTTAACCTTCGCAGAAGTGAATATGCTTCGGACACATTACTAACACATTCTTCCATCACTAAAACAAAATGAAACACATTGCAAGTTTCAAGAAAATAACTTCGAAGCCAATTATTAAAATCAAAATAATATGGGTTTATATATATTAATCCCTGTTAGAATTTACCTACACCTACCACCACCTACTACCATACCTACTACACCTACCACCAATTTACCCTCACCTACTCCTCACCTACTACCCAAATCCTCTTCTATATAATAGGACTCCTTGTAATATCAAAATAGAACAATCAATCAATACAATCAATCAATAATACATATATTTTTACATGGTATCAGAGCAAGGTTAAGCACTTAGTATTTTTTCGCTTCACCGGTGGGCGGCATCCTCGCTTTGGCCGCCCGCCGGACCTCAACCTAGTCCGCTAGAATTTTCTACACATACCTTCACTCTTCTTCACCACCTCTGCGCTGAGACCACTCTCCATCTCTCTCTCTCGGTTTGGGAGGAGAGAGGTTAGGGAGAGAAAGGCATCTTTTTGGATGAGATTCTGGAGGCGTGTCGGTTGAATGGTGCAATTCATGGATGCTACCATGTGGATGGACCACCCTCGCACGGCAGCGATGAGGGAGTTTCTGTCTGACGTGGAGCGTTTCGGCCAACTCAAAACGATCCACAGCAACTTCTCATTCATAGGCGGCCCCGATTTCCTCACCAACAACATCCGCGTGAACCCAGACCTCGACTCCCTCGGCGCGCTGGGCGACATCGGCTGGTACTGCATCCGATCCATCCTCTGGGCCGCCAACTTCCAGCTCCCGAAAACCGCCGTAGCTTTGCGCCAGCCAGTCCTGAACGAAGCCGGCGTGATCCTCTCGTGCGGCTCCTCTCTCTACTGGGAAGATGGCAAAATCACAACCTTCCATTGCTTTTTCCTCACCAACTTAGAAGAACACTTTATACATCGCCAATCGAGCCTTCGGTGCCATGCCAATGGCTTTTCCCTTGGCATAACCGAAGTAACTAGCACACGGCACTGGGCTGCCAGCAGCAGTGGATGATGTGTGAGTCCCGTGACCGAAAAAATCCCTTGGAGAGTCGTAGTCTTCAGTTGTTGATATGTTGAATCCAGCTGGCTTCATTGCTTACTAAAAGATCGTGCACCCACTTTAAATCATATCTATCATTACTCTCTTATATTTTATTAATCTCTCTCTCTCTCATCTTTTCACTTTCTTTATATATAATCTTATTATTATTATTATTTTCTCTCCTCTTTTTTGACAGTCTGCCAACATACCTTTCCAGACCACTCACCGACTCCCTCATCCCCGAAAAGAATACTTTTATTTATTTATCTTATCTTTCTTGTGTTTCATTTAAAAAAAAAAAAAAAAACCAACACCAGGGATCTCTTCTTTTTGAAAACATAACATACCCACTTTTATTTTATTATCTAATCAACATACCCATCTTTCTTTTCTCCACTAAAATATATTATACTAGCCTTCATTGATTCCACTGGATTCCAACACTTCATTTTATCTATTATTATTATTATTATTTTCAAAAAAAAAAAAAAAAAAAAAAAAAATATCATTCCAGTTAATTTTTCTGCATTACCACACCTACCATTCGAGTTTGCCAAACACACTTGCTTTATTCATATCGGGACTCACCCCGATCACCATTTTACATCCAAAAAAAAAAAAAAACAAACCAACAAAAAACAAAACACCCACACCCCCAGTGGGATTTTTCTTCTCTACTCTACTGCGGGTCTCTTCTTCTTGCTTTTCTCTTGATTGTCCCGTGACTGCCCAGCCTCCATGCTTCCTAGACCACCAAGCAAGTTGCCTCCTCCCTGCTCCTCCACTACAGCATATGGCGGCCCTCCAAATCGGAACATAACGGTGGCCTTCCGCTTCAGCTCCTTGTTTTCTGCCTTTAGCACACTTATCTCTGCTCGCGCATCCTTATACATGCGTTGGAGCAGAGCCAGCTGGGAGTTTAACTGTTGCACCTCATTTGTCCTGCTCTGCAGCCGGTGCGACAGTTGAGGTTCACTGGCCACCGCACCAGTTATCTCTCTTGTTGACTCGTTGAGGTCGGGAAAAAGAGTGAGCAGACCACGGGACGAAGAGGCCATATTCTGGGTAGCTGAACGGGAAGACGAGGCCATGTTATGGGTTGCTGAGTGTTTCAGAGAAGGGTTGGTTACAGAATGGCAACAGAGTGTTCCAGAATCTCTTTCTCAAAAACGGAAGAGTTTTTTTCAAAGGATTTTCGGCGGTTTTAGACTGGTTTGCACAGCCTCCGCCTCAACCTTGGTTAAATAGCCGAGGCCGACACGCCACTCTGTCGCTCACGTGCCTCGCCGCGTCTCCGGCTCACCTTTTGATGGCTCGACGCTTTCTGTCAGGCACGCCTTTTGATGAAGTGGGCGCGCCTTTTGAGGGCGCGACTTTTGAGGGCTCACTATATATATCCATATATATATATTTGGGCAGCCTATATACACCACCATAAACTGTCTTCTACAATGGTCCGACATGACCCCATAAACTGTCTTCTACATCGGTCTGACACCACCATACAGTGTCCTCTACATGGTTATGACACCCCCATACAGTGTCTTCACCAATGGTCTGACACGACCATACAGTGTCTCCTATCCTTTTTTATTTTTATGTATTTTCTTGTTTTGTTTCTCTCTTCAAACTCAAGTTGGTTAGTTTCTATCCTCCTTGAGTTTGCGGGGGGCTGTTAGAATTTACCTACACCTACCACCACCTACTACCATACCTACTACACCTACCACCAATTTACCCTCACCTACTCCTCACCTACTGCCCAAATCCTCTTCTATATAATAGGACTCCTTGTAATATCAAAATAGAACAATCAATCAATAATACATATAATACATATATTTTTACAATCCCAGACTTCTTAAATTTAGGAACCCAAAACTTTCGATTTGTTTGGAAAGTGAGCTTTTCATAAAATAAATAGTACTTTTTTTTTTAATTCTTCGTTTCCAACATGCATAAAATAAATTACTATTTTGACAGAATAAAATATAAATATATTAGCAACATAAAAAACAAAGAATTTGGTAAATAATTTCATGTATACAGTCGGGATGTTTGGTGTAGTTTTTTTGAGCCAACTTATAGATTCTAGCCTTAGAAAAGCTATTTTGGACTGTTTGGTTAGACTTATTTCAAATAATTTTTGATTACCAAACCAAACCAAGCCTTAAGTCCCATCAAATGGGGTCAGCTACATAAATCTTTTTTCTCCATGCAGCCCTATCAAAGGTCATTTCATTAGTCAAATTAAGCAGATAAATAGTTTATAATTCTAGCAACTTATTTTATTCTAACTCAAAAAAGCTTATTATGAGAAGTTGTCCAACCCCCCACTTCTAATTATAACAGCTTATTTACAATTATACCCTTAGATTTTTTATTTTTTTAAATAGAAAAAAACCCAAATGCACTGTGGACTAGTTTATATATATACATATGGGACATGTGGACTAGCAGCTAATAACAAAAAAATAAAAGTTAATTCAATTCACAACTAACAAAGGTTAACTCAATTTACAATTAACAGGGATAAAAAGGACATTTACACATCAAAAAGCTATTTCATGGCTTATTTACCAAACATTATCAGTAACTTAAATCTATAATCCAACAGCTACACAAACAGATTAACACCTTCTGATTAAAGTCATAATCTATAATCTGTTAAGCTACAATTTATAATTTGTTTTAACAATTACACCAAACACCCCCAGTATATACATAACAAAGTATATTTCTTTGTTCTTGTGCTGCCCCTATGTCATGTCTTGACTTTTTGAAAATTGTATGTCAGCATATCTGCATCATGTAATATCATATCTGTGCCCATATTTGTGCTTCTTAAGCCCTACTCAACACACGTTGCTGAACTCTTCCAATTGCATCCTAAAATAGACTTCAGCCTGTCCTATACTCCAGCATCACCCAACCAGACCACTAAACACAAACAAAGGATTTTTATTGGGCTTGGGTTGACACATCATAATCTGACCAAAGAATGGTTTTGGTTGGGATTGGGCAACCCATGCCAATCCAAAGCCAATCTACTGTTATAACTTTTAAGACTACTCACCAATGGGGCCAATTCTGGAGCAATGGGGAAAGTTTAGAGCCAATTTAATATGTACAATTGTTAATTACATTACATATTTTACATGCAATTTAAATTCAATTACAAATGTGGAAGAGGATTACCTTCTTTTTCTTAAGAACAAACCACATGTAGAGTTTTTCAATAGCCTCCTTGACATGCCTACCAGCCAGCTTTCTCTCATTGCAATGAGCAGCTATGTCTGACAGTATTTCTGTGCATGGAATTCTGTGTTTTGATGCTGCAGCAGATAATGCTTCCTGGCCTTCAATTGATTCTGCTGCATCTTTATCAAAACAGACTCCAGTGAAACATCTTCTTGGAAATTCGTCCCAAATGTTCAGTTTTTGAGGCATTTTTCTGTGCTTTAAGTACATCTCTTCAGCTTCAATTGTAGCAGCCAATGTCCTATGTACAACAATATCCGGATACCTATGCAGTGGTGAAGTAAAATGAGTGTAGAAAGGAACAGCCAGAGCATAATGCCTCCACTCACTCTCACTGTCTTTTAAATCTCCACTACAGAAGTAGGTCGCCAATTGCATTGGTTTTGATGCATATGACACAACAATGTTAAACAACACAGAATCATTCTTGAGTTTTTCTCTAATCCACTCCAATGAATGATGAAGCTGGCCTGAAGCAGTGTCCAATTCGAAACCATGTTTGCTACAAAAAGCTTCAAACTCTCTGAGCTTTTGCAGGTTAGGTTCAGGGTGCCTCCGCAACAATGCACTACCAGGATAAGCTTTAGATATTACTTCAGCAGCTGTCCTATTAGCCAAAAACATAAACTCCTCAACTAGGAAATTTGAGTCCTTCCTTTCAGAAAGTATACTATCATATGGCATGCCGTCTTCATCAAATAAGAAAACCACTTTGGAGCTTTCAAGACTCAATGCCCCATCATTAAACCTCTTCTCCTTTAATGTCTGTGAAATTTCATGAAGGCGTTTAACAGATCTAATAACATCAGACCATTGAAAGTCGCCATGCAACTGAGGGAAACCATTTTTTGAGGTACTAAAACTCCCCACATCAAACAACCCATCAATAATGTCCTGAGCATGTTCATAGGAGAGTTTGCAACAAGATCGTACAACAGTACGGCCAATCCACTGCTCCAGAAGCTCCCCAGTTAAACTGATGTCCCAGAAAATCGAAAAGGCAAGTCTGTCTACTCCAGGATTAAGTGAGCCTAGATTCTCTGAAAGCATTGAGGGCAACATGGGTAATTTACCCCACAATAAATAGACACTCTTGGAACGAATTTGAGCATCTATATCTAGTGCTGTGTCTGGTAGAACAAAATATGACACATCTGCGATGTGCACACCAACTCTGCAAATGCCATTGGATAACATTTCAACTGATAGTGCATCATCAAGATCAGTGGCAGTGGAAGGGTTGATAGTAAATATGCACAAATTTCTTAGGTCACTTCTGTTTTCAAATCCCTCTGGTGGAATCTCCCAAGGAACACATGGAAAGCAAGAAAGTGAGTCAGGAGAAAATTCAGAAGAATGAATTGCATTTTCAAATAAAATTGCAGAAATCTGTGGTTTAATCTCTCCACCCCTTCCAAAAATATGCATGACATGAGCACGTGGGACACAATTTTCTTCCCCCCAATCATCTATACATGCACCTACAAGTTCCATTTCAATTGTTGCATCACCATCGTCCAATCTTTTCTTGATAATGTCAGGCAGGTCTCTCAAAAATACCATCATTTTGGGAAACCTCAGGTCAGTTGGTGTCAACGTGATGTACTCCTGATTGGGAGATAACAATGAATTTTTTTTCTTCTTCTTGTCCTTTTTGCGACCTTCCCTATTAGAAAGCCACTGCTTAACACTAAGAAATCCGACAATAGCATCACGACGATGAGACCTTTCAATGATAGCCACAACTTTTCCAGTTGGTCGTTTTGATGGGAATGAACTTATTATCGCACATAAGTTCTCCATTGAAATTGTGACATCATTCTGTTCATTTGAACAAACTGTCTGAGAAGGATCCAGCACAAAGGGACAATGTCCATCAATAGGGCTATAACTATAATCTGGTGAAGAGGTGCAATGTCCAAGTAGTTCTGGACCAACATTTGCACAAGTGGAAGTACCATTTACATATTCATAACCCATGTCTACCTTATTTTTTCCTTGGCAGCTATCACAAACTAACTCAGTGACTTGAGAGAGAGAGTTATAATCATCCAAAGGCGCAGAATTGTTGAAAGTCTCAGCAGACCCTTTCATATTAGTCCATGATGACAAATTGTCAACTTTAATCACAACAATATCACCCTCCACCTATGTGTTAAAAGACAATTAATCAAAAAACACATTTAGCGCATGTGCACTAAAGGACTAACCAAAGAATTAATACAAGGCATTAAATATGAAAGTTAATAACAACAATAATAATAATCCTTAAAGCATCCAGTGACAAATGTAAGTCAAAAAAATTGCCAATTACAAAGTAATTCAAAAATCAGTCATGTGCACCAACAAAACCAAGATAGAGAAAGAAACAAGTAATTTTCAGGTCACTTTGGGGAAGAGAGGGGAAATAAAACCAACTAGTATACAATTTTTCCTTCTAAGCAATAAACCAAGAGTAACTTAAAAGCTACCGACATTAGAAATGTCAAAACTGAAAATTAAAAGGATAAGCTTTGGACAACGACTGGTCACAAAAAGATAAAAATGGTGATGATAATTAGCAACTAGCCGACCAGCACTTGTTTATGAAGTCACTAATTGCATCTTCGGTGTTCATAGACTAAAAAATATCACATGTTAACCTCTGAAATGAAAAATCAAGTAGATGAAAAATCAAGTAGTACAGTTTTGTATGGTTAAGTATCACAAGAGAGTGAGCAACATGATGCATGTAACTGAGGAAACCAGCCCCTAGTTGTTCACAGAAAGCAATTAATAGAGGGTTGACGAATCAAAAAGCGAAGCAGTTAATCAAAACTGAAGCAATTGAGAGAGGTTGAGGATAATAAACTGAAGTAGTTTCAAAGGCAATTTTGGCATACAAATTAGTGACAGCTTCAAAAATAGGTAAACACCAAACTAGTGTTCACCCTTTATATGTTAGATTCTGGATCTTAGTTGCACAAGTGGAAGCAGGAGTTGGAGAGGGGGAACGTGGCCACTTAGAAGAATCGTAGATTAGGAGCGCTTATGTATTATTTTTATTAATTATATTTTTAATTTATCCACATAACTTTTTTTATTTTTCGTGATGGTTATACAAACCATCTAGTAACCCAAACACTTGATTTTTAATTTATTTTTTATTTTTAATTGATATATATATTATAAATAAAAAAATCTAACAAATAAAGAATAATAAAGTATGTTAAAATAAATAAAAAATAAAAATTGAATGATTTATTTTATAGATTTTATTAGATTTTTTTTTTATTATATATGATTTAATTAGATTTATTATATAACAAATTATATTATTTATTATATGTTAAAAACGGGAGGGGGGAAGAGATAGAGAACACAAATCGACAAGAGAGAGAGAGAGAGAGAGAGAGAGAGAGAAGAAGAAGAAGATGATGACAAGGAGATGATGAAGAAGAGAAGACAGAGAGAGAAGAGGAGATCGACACAGATGAAGACAAAGAGAAGACGACACAGATCGACATAGATCTTCGCTCTCCTGCTACCACTGGTCCACTATTAAGTTTCTCTCAACAACCCTTCTTTTTTCTCCTCTCATGTCAGCCTGTCCGAGAAACCCATGCCGAATCCGACACATATCTCACACCCGCACCCGTGCCGTGTCGTGTCGACACGGGTACGCTGCCCTAAACCAATGAGTCCATGTGACAAAGGATCTAGACAAGTTCCTTCTCTTCTCAAATTCGCGTTTCTCTAACATTAGACTCACAATTCTTCTCCGATTCTTCCTCAGAAGTGCAGTTCTTCGGCTGATTCGTAAGCTACTTCAGTGATTCTTGCTACTAAGTTCTGGATGCACAAATAAATGCTTTCAGATAACGAAGGGAAAAATGAGAACCCAACACAGTTTTTATTTTATGATATAAAACAATGCCCTTCTTTAGCCATGAACTCAATAAAAAAATTGGAACATCAATGATTAATGCCATAAAATTGTTGTAGAAAAGGAGAATAAACATATCAAAGGTAGTAAGTTAACTTGTATCCCTTTAAATCTATGAAATGCAGTGTAAGGTAAAAGTCTGAAGGCATTCAACAGCACTTCATTCAGGAAATCACCAGCAAAAGACAACCCCAGACTTACAGCTCTATTGTGAGCAGCAATTCCGCTGATGAGGACGTCCAATTGAACTCCATCAATTTTACAATAGGCCTAACAACACAAAACAGTATATGCATATTATTTACATCATACTAGAACAAAAACACGTGACATAAATATGGTAAATAAAAAATTAAAATGGACCTGAAGTCTGTTGTGAGCATTCACACGAAAAAGCGCTTTAAAGACATGACCTTTCTGCACAAGTAAAAACTAAGCATGATACAACCTTCTTCTCCATAATATCATTACAAGGGCTTAAATGTTAAAATTAATACCATATTTACATTGCATACATTAGATATATTGGATACATTGGGTTCATGCATTCTTTGTATTCATGTATTTTTATATTCACGTGTTTTATATTTATTAGGTTCACTGTCTATATTATATTCATGTACTTAGTTGTAAGGTTGTTCATTGAACTTATGTATAACCTTCTCTATATAAAAGGATGTAAGCCTATGGACAAAAAGAAGAATAAGAGAAAAAATACAAGATCAATATAAGTTAAATTCGATACAAAATAATAGTTCATTCTAGAGAGAGTTTTATCAAAAGCTAACAGAAGTGGTATCAAAGCATTGGTTGGGTCACGAACACGCTGGGCATAGAGATCGGATACGGGAAAACAAGCCCCCAAAGAAGAACAACCAAAATGTATCTACTCCTATCTTTAATGGTGAAAATTTTGATTTTTGGTATGTGAAAATGAGAACTATTTTTGTCTATATGGATCTTTGGGATCTTGTTGAGAATGGGTTCGAGGAACTTGAAGATGAAGGAGCTTTGACAAATCCCCAAAAGAACCAATTGAAAGAACAAAGAAAGAAGGATTCAAAGGCTCTCTCTTTATTCAACAAGGAGTTTCAGAAATAATCTTTCCAAGAATTATCAATGCTACAAAAGAAAAGGAGGCATGGCATATTCTTCAAAAAGAGTATAGAGGCAACTTGAAGGTAAGAACCATCAAACTTCAATTATTGAAAAAAGATTTTGAAAATATAAAGATGAAGGATATGGAATTGTCGAAGGATTATTTTTCTAGATTTATAGAACTTGTGAACCAAATGAAAATTTATGGGGATAATATTTCTAATCAAAGAGTTGTTGGGAAAATTTTGATAAGTGTGCCGGAGAAATACAATCCTACTGTTGCTGTCATTGAAGAAACTAAAGATCTTACTGATTTGAGTATTGAAGAATTGATGGGTTCAATTAAAACATTTGAGCAAAAGTTGAGTAGGCAATCTGAAAAGTCAATTGAAAGTTCCTTTCAATCCAAGCACAATGTTAGTACTTCTAATTCCCAAGGAGGAGGAAGAAATGCAAATGGAAGTAAGAAATGCAAGAGGAAGAGGAAGGTCTAATTTTCAAAGAAATGAAAATGAAGAGTCCACTCAACAAAAGTGTAGAATTTGCAACCGAAGCAATCATGTTGATAAAGATTGTTGGTTTCGGTGAAAGCCAAAATGTTACAATTGCAACAAATTTGGGCATGTCAAGAAGGATTGCCAAGTCAAGAGCACTCAACAAGCTAATTTTTCCGAGGAGCAAGAAAGTGAAAGGCACATGTTCTATGCTTGTCACAAGGCATTGGATCAAAACAAGGATGTATGATTTCTCAATAGCGGATGTAGCAATCACATGACAAGAGATGAGAGCATTGTTGTGAAAATGGATGCTTCCTCCAGTTCTCAAGTAAAAATGGGAAATGGTGCCTTAGTCCAAACAAAAGGAAAATGTACTATTACTATAGAAACCAAGATGGGCACAAGATTCATTTCCGATGTTCTCCTAGTTCCAGACTTGGAGCAAAATTTGCTAAGTATTGGACAACTTATGGAGCACGGATACCTTGTTCACTTTGAAGAAGATTTTTGCAAAATTTTTGACAAAGGGGGGAGAAGCCAAGTTGTAGCAAAAATCAAGATGGAGAAGAATAGAAGTTTTTCTCTCATTTTTCAGTATAGCAAAAATGCGGCTTTGAAGATGGATGTGATTGACAATTCATGGCTTTGGCATAGAAAATTTGGGCACCAGAATTTTCAAAGCTTGAAGCATCTACAATAAAAGAATATGGTTTTTGGATTGCCGACCATTCATGAAGTGCAACATATTTGTGAAGGTTGTGCACTTAGGAAGCATCACTGGGAGTCATTTCCAAAGGAGAAAGCATGGAGAACTAAAGCACCATTGGAGCTTGTCTATACCGATGTGTGCGGACTTATGGATACACAAACTAATGGAGGTAACAAGTACTTCATTATTTTTATTGATGATTTTACTAGAATGACTTGGGTGTATTTCATGAGACAAAAGAGTGAAGTTTCTTTATCTTCAAGAAATTTCAAAATCTTGTTGAAAAACAAAGTGGTTGTTTGATGAAAGCATTGAGAAGTGATAGAGGCAACTCAAATGAGTTTATGAAATTTTGTGAATATATTGGTATGGAAAGGCAATTGACCATTGGGTACACTCCACAACAAAATGGTGTGGCGGAAAGGAAGAATAGAACTATAGAGGAAATGTCCCAAGTGTATGCTACATGAGAAGGGGCTACCCAAAACTTTTTGGGATGAGGCTGTGTATCGCAGTGTACTTGATGAATAGATGTTTTACAAAAGCTCTTAAGGACAAAACTCCATTTGAAGCTTGGAGTGGAAGGAAACCATCATTGAATCACTTGAAGGTATTTGGTTGCATTTGTTATGCTCATGTTCCAAAAGAAGTGAGGCACAAGCTTGATGAAAATAGTAAGAAATGCATCTTTGTGGGTTATAGCTCGAAATCCAAAGGCTATAAACTCTTCAGTTTGGATCAATAGAAGGTGATTATTTGTAGAGATGTTCTCTTTGGTGAGAAAGTGTCTTTTGATTGGAAGGAAAATGAAGTTCAAGATCAAAGCATTGCTTTCAATGAAGAATTGGAAAGTCCACAAGTTGAAGATGTTGCGAAGCTTGGATCTCCACAAAGATTGTCACCAATTGCTAGTTCACATTCTTCTCCAAGTTCAAGTTGAAGTTCAAGTTCTTCATCTCCAAGTTCAACTCCAAGAAATATAAGGAGTCTTAGTGATGTATGCAAGATGCAATTTATGCATTGATGAACTTGAAAATTTTGAAGAGGCAATTAAAGATGAAGCATGGAAGATGAAATTCATGTAATTGAGAAGAACAAGACTTGGGAGCTAGTGGAGAAACTGAAAGGAAAAGAAATAATTGGTGTGAAGTGGGTTTTCAAAACAAAGTTCAATCCAGATGGCTCTATTCAAAAGAAAAAAGCAAGACTTGTGGCGAAAGGGTATTCACAACAACCCCGGAATTGATTTTCAAGAAACTTTTGCTCCTGTGGCTCGACTTGATACAATTAGAGCTATCATTGCTTTGGCGGCTCAAAAGGGTTGGTTCTTGCACCAACTTGATGTAAAGTCAGCATTTTTGAATGGAAAATTAGAAGAAGAGGTGTATGTTGATCAACCTTAAGACTTTATTGTCAAAAGCAAAGAAGATAAAGTGTACAATTTGAAGAAGGCTTTATATGGCCTAAAGCAAGCACCCAGGGCATGGTATAGTGAAATTGATGCTTACTTCAATGAAAAGGGTTTTCAAAGAAGCAAAAGTAAGCCAACTTTGTACATCAAGAGGCAAGGTACAACCGGTATTGTCATTGTTTCACTTTATGTTGATGATATGGTTTTTACCGGTAGTGATGAAAAATTGATTGAACATTTTAAAAGGGAAATGATGAAAAAAAATATAAAATGAGTGATTTGGGGCTATTGCATCATATTTTAGGTATTGAAATCTACCAAAACAATAGTGTTTTTATTTGTCAAAAGAAGTATGCTCAAACACTTCTTGAGAAATTCAAAATGAAGAATTGCAAATCAGTTGTTATTCCCTTGATTGTGAATGAAAAGTTGTCAAAGAAAGATGGAAGCAAAGAAGCTGAAGTATCTTGTTATAGAGGTTTGGTTGGAAGTTTGTTGTACTTGACTGCTATAAGACCGGACATCATGTATGCTACAAGTTTAGTGTCTCGGTTTATGCACAGTCCAAGCCAAATTTATTTTGGGGTTGCAAAAAGAGTGTTGAGATACATTCAAGGTACACTTGATCATAGAATTTCTTATGAGAAATTTGTTGATGCAAAGTTACTTGCATTTTGTGATAGTGATTGGGCCGGATGTGTTGATGATATGAGAAGCACTGTTGTGTATGCATTTTCTCTTGGATCGGGCGTAATTTCATGGTCATCCAAGAAACAACAAACTGTGACACAATCATCCGCTAAGGCCGAATATATTTCAGGATCATTGGCAACTACACAAGCAATTTGGCTAAGAAGAATTTTGGATGATTTTAATGAGAAACAAGGTGAAGCTACTCCAATTATGTGTTCTAACAAGTATGCTATTGCTATGACAAAGAATCCCATCTATCATTCTCGTACCAAACACATTACTATCAAATATCATTTCATTAGAGAAGCTGTGGAAGATGATGAGATTCAAATCAAGTATTGCAAGACTGAAGATCAAGTTGTGGACATCTTCATCAAAGCTCTACCAATGGCATTAAGGGGGAGTGTTAAAATTAATACCATATTTACATTGCATACATTAGATACATTGGATTCATGCATCCTTGGTATTCATGTATTTTTATATTCATGTTTTTTATATTTATTAGGTTCATTATCTAGATTATATTCATGTACCTAGTTAATTGTAAGGTTGTTCATTGAACTTATATATAACCTTGTCTATATAAAAGGATGTAAGCCTATGGGAAAAAAAAAGAATAAGAGAAAAAGTACAAGATCAATACAAGTTAAATTCAATACAAAATAATAGTTCATTCTAGAGAGAGTTTTATCAAAAGCTAACATTAAAAAATCGTAATTCAGTGCAATAAACAGAATTGAAACAAATTATCGAACTGAGTTGAAACACATTAGCAGACTGACCTCTAATGCCTCATTAACAGCTTCGACAGACCAGTGTGGAGCAAAATATTTTCTCAGATCCTTATTTGCATATGACCACATTGACTCCTCACAAACAAGCGTCTCAGGACATGATTTTGAAAACTTTCTTCCACCAAAATCAGCTGAAAAAACTTGCTGATTTTGCATATTACCTTCCTGTGGTGCTTCTTGTTCATTTATATCCATTGTTGGCAAAGAATTGAAAGCAACATTAGATGCTTTGGGCAGTCGCTCCATATTTGATGGGCTGCCACTCCCCGCAATTTCAGATGGTTCTGCACGTAATTCATTTACCGAACCACAAGCTACTTGAAGAAAGAAAATTTTGAGAACATCAGATCAAGAACTAACAACCTTAGGACCCATATAATACATGCATTCCACAAATATAAAGGGGAATGCAGAGTAAGAGGAAAAGATAAAAGACCAAAACTTGAAAAACCAAACCAAATAAGTTCAGATTCCAAGTAGATTCACTTGAGGTTAAAGACATAAAAATGAATTATCTATATTTTTAAAAATTCTCTTAGTGCATTATTATAGAGAAAACTAATGAAGTGAACAGAGGTAATAGGGAAGTTTTGGCATAGATTTCAGATATTAGTCCTCAATACATGTTTTCCGAAAACTGTTAACATTTGAGAATATGAGTTTAGTATCATTGACAATCATAGATATATATATATATATAGAGAGAGAGAGAGAGACGTTCTGGTCTAAAAACTGGTTATGTTAACTAGTTCTTTCTAACTCGGATTTTAAAAATAGTTCCTAAGAACAACAAACCCCAAAAAATTTTGATTCTATGTTTTTGTCTTGGTGACTTTGAGTCTATGAAGCATGGACACTCTAAAATCAATGCCGTGGCGGTGTTCGACACGGGGACACGCCGGAGACACGTACGGGACACGCCAATTTAATGATTTTTTTGTAAGGGACACGGCGGGAACACGCATGTCCATATGGGGACACGACATGGGACACATTGGGGCTTTTTTTTTTTTTTTTCCTTTTGCCTATCTTATTTAGTGTTTTTGTGAAGAATATTGTTAGATGTTGAATGTTTTCCCTTTCTCGTCTCAGTTCTTATTATCGTTTATTATGACTTTTTTTTGCGAATAGATGATCTATTAATTTGTTTAAATGTAGTGGTTATATTTATTGAATTAATGTTACTATGTTAGTGTTTGTTAATTTTGATTTAGGATGAATATAATATAAATCTACATAACACATAAAAATATATAAAATAAAATTCGCCATGTCTCCCACCGTGTCCATGTCCCATTTTTTGGAATTGCCGTGTCCCGTATCCGTGTCCATATCCGTATCCATATCCGTGTCCATGTCCATGTTTCATAGCTTTGAGTACTAAAAACTATTTCAGAAAACTCCAGCAAAATCCAATAATTTTTCCATTTCACATGTCCATGGCTTCCAAAAATATACTCAAAATAGTCATACTAAATCAATGATGTTCAAGTTAGCACTTTAATTATGTTCATGTTCTTGTTGTCAATAGAAGCAAACCTGCATATACTTTTATGCTTATGTGATGTTTCTTGTTTCCTATGCAAAAAAATAAAATAAATAAAAATAAATCCCTTTTATTTAAGATGCATCGTCTCATTACACCAGACACAGCATTATTTATTGAATTAATGTTACTATGTTAGATGAATGTAATATAAATCTACATAATACATAAAAATATATAAAATAAAATTCGCCATGTCTCCCACCGTGTCCATGTCCCATTTTTTGGAATTGCCGTGTCCCGTATCCATGTCCATATCCGTATCCATATCCGTGTCCATGTCCATGTCCAAGTCCATGTCCATGTTTCATAGCTTTGAGTACTAAAAACTACTTCAGAAAACTCCCGCAAAATCCAATAATTTTTCCATTTCACATGTCCATGGCTTCCAAAAATATACTCAAAATAGTCATACTAAATCAATGATGTTCAAGTTAGCACTTTAATTATGTTCATGTTCTTGTTGTCAATAGAAGCAAACCTGCATATACTTTTATGCTTATGTGATGTTTCTTGTTTCCTATGCAAAAAAATAAAATAAATAAAAATAAATCCCTTTTATTTAAGATGCATCGTCTCATTACACCAGACACAGCATTATTTCCGGCTTATCCCAACAAGGGAAAAAAGTTAGGAAGAAATTTCCTCCACATCCCAAAATTAAAATTCTCCCCATAACTGCAGTTGTGTTCAGTTATAAAAAATAAATAATAAATAATAATAATACTAAAAGTAGGGGAGGGGGATAAGAAAGAAGAAAGAAAGCCTCAATTCAACTTACATTAAAGTTGCAGTAGGCTCAGTTTAGGTGGAAAGACTTTCCTTTCGTTCAGTTTCTCAGCCACCGAAAAGAACCTTTTTCAATGATCTCTAATGTTGTGTTTGGTTCATGAATTAGGTAGGGATTTGGAAAGGAAAAAGGAAAAAGGAAAAAGTGAATGAAATGGGTGTGAAATGTAGCTTTATTTCATACACATTTTGCCTAACTTTTCTCTTTCCATTTCCAAATCCTTATCCAAATTCATGAACCAAACACAGCCTAAAAGATTAAATTTTAAGTAAATGGTTTCTCATTTGTGCATCCGGGTTTGCAAAAAGAGAAAATCCCCATTGTATCTATCTCCATATAACACTGATAACATCAAAACAGAAATACACAAAAACATTGCCACACCACAAAATCCTTCCCACATTTAAAACCCAAAAACCCAACTCTTTGCTGAACACCCATTGCATAATACAGAAAGTTTTAAACTGTAATTGGTAATTTCCAAGCCACTATCTCAAAACTAAATCTCCTAACAACTCCCAACTATAAACCTTGAACAGTGCACCCAACTTAGTAGTTAACTAGAACTCCAATCAAAGCAATGATTCAAGAAACACATAAAGCAATTTAGCACAAACATATATATACAAATATACATAAAGCTATATATGAAAGTGAAAAATACCTGAAACAGAAGAATTGTGTTTGGATCGTCGATTGGATCGACGCCTCTTCTTCTTGTCCTTATCAACATCCTCAGTCTTCTCAGTATGAGACTGCTCAACCACTGCCCCTTTCATAATTTACCCAACAATCCCAAAAAAAAAAAAAAAAAAAATCAAAATCAAGGGGACGGTTCTGTGTGTATAAAAAAAAAAAACAAAGCTAAACTAAAGATAAAGAATCGAACATCTTCCGATGGGTTATAAAAAAAAATTTAACGGAAGAAGCCGATCAAGATGGGGGGAGAAAGAAAGAAAGAAAGAAAGAAAGAAGAAACGAATTAACAGAAGCTTTGTATAGAGAGATAGGATTATAAATGTAGAGAGAGAGAGAGGCCATAGTGGGGGAAGGTGAAAGGGACGTAACTGTTGGTTGGTGGAGACATTGGCGCCGACTCTTTGATTCCTCTGTCTTCCTCAAACTTTTTCCCCCCACTCTCTCTCTCTCTCATTTTTTTTCTTCTCTCTGTTTTAGTGGGTGATGAACTGACTATAAAAAGTGCCACTTTGGGACTTTCTAGATTGTCCGATTAAAATAGGAAAAATTATAATTCGGTATTTGATAAAATAATTATTAATTTATAAAAAATATAATATATAATTTTAATTATTAATATTTATAAGATTTATTAATTAATAATTATTTTTCTTATAAATATTACTGATGTGATGTTTTCTATTAAAATATGTGTTAGTTACATTAAGAATAACTCAAATATAAATGATATATCATTTTATCATAGGTGGAAAACCATTTATCATATTTATTAGAATTAATTGTCTACACTAATTCATTACAAGATGAACAGTTTCAATGGTTTGAGCGAACCAATGCAGGTGCATTCATTACAAGATGAACAGTTTCAATGGTTTGAGCGAACCAATGCAGGTGCATTCTTTTCAATTTGCTTAAATTCAGATGGGAAGCTATTTGACCCAACTCGATTTGCTAATACTCCTAAGAAAATGAAATTATACTTTTTATGTTAAAAAATATATTTTATTTTGTAACTATATTTGTTATTTATGAAATATGAAAGTTTCGCTTTTATTTTTATTATAAAAAATGAATAATCAAAAAATTTGAGTACAAAATAATAAAGAATTACGTTAAAATAGTTCAATCTGAGGCAGTAAAGTCCAAACTGCTGCATGGTCCACCAATTTGCTTCCACTAATTAAACAGATGGATGTAGATTTATTTTTCTCAATCTATCCAAGTTCAAAGAGATAACAGATGAGAGTCCATTCGACCTAACCCGGTTTGCAAGCACCTTTAATTTTACCCCTTCATTTATGAACTTGTATGTATTCATCCTCTGACTTATTGAAAATCGTACAAATACATTTATTCTGGAGATGATTTGAAGAGGATCTAAAGAGAGTGCAAGTGATATATTTTTTATAATTGAGGGAATCAAAATGTACAAGTTCACAGATGTGTGGACCGATTTCTGCAATAGAGTAAGCTGGAACTTCGTGGATGAACCCTGGTGCACCCATGGGTGAAGGTGTAATAACCCTCACGATATCCTAACCATACTCATATGCATTCACGTGATTCTGTCTTGTAAGCTTGCATTTCAAGTCTTGTCCTTGTTCGTTTAAGTGTTTCAGCATGTTTTGTACCTTGTTTGGTGTGAGTTTAGCCGAAGTCATCTTCCGTCTAGGATTACCTTGGAACTACTTTGTTTGACCTCTACCTTCGCCCTGACATATTGGCCGAGATGTCATTATCTAGGCCGAGGTGTTCATCACCAAGGCCAAGGTGTGAATCATCTAGGCCGAGATGTTACCTTTGCACCTAAGTGATCTTGTCCCGGAGAGGTATGACCTAGACCGAGGTGTGGCACATCTAGGCCAAGGTGTGGCACAGCTTAGTCAAGTGTTGTTCTTCCTAGCCGAGGTTATTATTCCCTTACTTGCCGATGCCTTGCTTTTAGCCGAGATCATTGCCTAGCGAAGTGCCCATGCCATCTTGCTTGTTGAACACACTTTGTCATAGTTTTGTCTTGTCACTCAGCCACCTTTTTTAGTAGCACCAACCAGCCGTTGCCACGTGCCCCTGTAGAGGGTTAAGTCAGCCAGCAGACTTAGAAATGTATCATTTTGCTGTATGTCTTTGTTTGTGAGGAGAGAGAAGCTCTAGAAGAAAAAGAAGAAGTTTAGAATGAGAGAGTGGGCTTCGAGCTTGATTCCTAGAGATCAAACCATTAGATTCACGTATTGAGGTTAGATTTTTTATTTACTCTTGACATTCTTATTGATCATCTAGCTGCATGGCACGATCGAACCTGTTTTGCATGTCATGCATCGATTTAAAATTGGTTTTAGAAAGAGAAAATAGTGTTCATGTGTTTTTGAAGGAAAAGTCTTGTTTGATCTAAAAGTTTACATTAAGATTCACGTTTTTGTGTTTGTTCTCACAAGATCCTTGAATATGGGTACCCAGGTCCATGTTTTTGAACTCATAGCATGAAATCTCAGGTTTTGTAATAGCAAATCATTATCCTTGCATCCATCTTCCTCATGATCATGTTCTTTATGTTCATCATGTTCTTCAAGAGAGGGAAACCCAGATTTTTCCCGACTTCATTCCTTTGAATGTGGCCATCGAGGCCACACCTCGGCAAGGGGGTGTGTAACCTCGGCCTAGACCTGGTAGTTGCCCAGCATGTTTTCCCGAGATTATCTGCATGCATGTGAAACTTGTTTGAAAGTGCATTCAACAGACTTTGCCATGTGTTTGTAGGATTTGGACTTGCCTTGACCCCGACGTTTGAAGAACTAAGTGAGTGGTATTTTTAATAAAGCTATGTTATAAACCTTTGATAAAAGTCTTTTTTGCTTCGTTTTGGAAAGTATTTGTAAGCATGAATGGTTATTCCTAATTGGAAAAAATATATATATATATATATCTTGTTTTGATGACATTCTTGGAAGTCCGTACGTGCTAAGGGACTATAAGCATTTGTAGCACAAAGTTTGGAAATCCGTACGTGCTAGGGGACTCTAAGCATTAGTAGCACAAGTCCTTAGTGTCAGGGGACTATAATGCAATGGCACCATTAAATTGAGATATCTCCCTTGTCTTGCCTTGTCTTGTCTTGTTTGCCACTGACGGTTTACCGCGTGGGTTTTGTTTGCCGAGATGTCATCACTTGTATTATAATGATGTTAGTAAGCATCCTTTGAAACTTGACAAATTTGGAAGATAGACTTGGTTCATCCCTTGATTTGCACTAATTATGTTATGTATTGTTTGATAAAGATCTTGAATACCAGTCATGCAAACTCCTTTATTTCTTATACCATTCACTGAGTATCCAAGCTTACCCTCTCTATATATATGTAGGTGATGAGCAGGAAGGTGGTGACGCCTAGGTGTGACTCGCAAGCTTGTTTTGGGTTTTTGTTATGTCGGCCTAACTTGTATTCACGTCGGCAGTCTTGAAAATCATGCTTCTCGGCTTATAATGCTTGTAATTTACACATGTCGGCTGGAGAAGCCTTTTGATCAAGATGTAAAATGTATTTTGTACTTTATTATATTTGTATCCAAGTTGTAATATTATGTAAAGTTGTTTGCCATCCCATGTAACTTACGCACTGCTCTTATGGACCACTTGTATTTTTAAATTATTGTTTCCGCACTTGTGAGCCCCATATATATATTATACTCTGGTTGTGTGTGAATTTTTCAAGTTGGCCTCCGGTAATCTCGGATTACTGGCCATCACGGTACCAAACTACTAGGGGCGGTTTGGGGTCGTGACAGAAGGCCTGCACAAGGAACAAACAGTTTAGCTGCCCAACCGAGGGTTGGTCGGAAACCCCTCCGACGGTCGAGTCAGTACCAGAGTTTGGTATAGTGAAAGTAGAATAGACGAGTCAGTTTAGAGTGTTCAGAGGTCGATCCCCCCTCAAGGAGAGTGAGGGTACATTTTATAAGAATCGTTTGACTTGTTCCTCAGGTTTCTCTCTTCGCCACCCGACACTCAACCGAAATGTTAGGTTGCTCCTCAATGGCAAGAGAAAAAAATCCGTTAAGCAATTCTGTTATTCATGGCAGATCAAGCACTCCTTCCATGTATTGGATGCGAGTTAATTTGCACGATTGGTTTGTACCATACGCTCTTATGGTTGGTTCAGTGCCTTGATTCAAGTTGGTCGTCCTCCTTAGCTACGCTCGGTCCAAGTTTGTACTTGGGCTGCGTGGTTCGGATCACTCGGTCCGTTGGGCTTAAGATCACACTTGGTCTCCATGTTTAGTACCTTGGTAGTTCTTCTCTGGTTCAAGTAAACGCTTAGCCCACACAGTTTGGGCTTTTGAACACTAGCTCGGCCCAAACTCGTGCTTGGGTTTGACGTTCTGATCACGTAGCATTACTAGGCCCAAGCGTCATCCTTGGGCTTGCGATCTTCTTCTTGTTTTGCTTATGCTTGGTGCAGAGTTATAAATGGCGCTCTTCACTTGCCCCCTAGCTCGTGCTCGAAGTCTTCGAGTGTGAGAGGTTATAGGTGACCTCTTACTTTCTGTTGTTGATTTTGTTGCTGCCTTTCCCTCCCCATTGATTCTGGTGATTGTTAGTTGGGGCATTTCCTATTTATTATTATTATTTTTTATTTTCTCACTCTGGAAACCCTATCTTGTTAGAGTCTAATTTTTTTTTTTTTAAGTAATATGCAATTTTTTTTTAAACAGTATGCTCGTTACATGTATTTGATTTCATGAGTTTGGTTAGTTCAACATTGATTGCCAACAGGCCCACAAACTTTCCAACTTGTGGTTGCCTTACTTGTAATGGTAATATTTACAAATTCAAATGCTTGGCCTTGCTAGGTGGGTCCTAGTATCAATCAAGTCCTTTATTTTATATAAACAAATGTCTTACCTAGACCATCATTTTTTTTTTGGACTTTGTTGTACCTTGTTGGAGTGGATTTGCAGCATGTTGATAAATTGTTTGTTGCTCAGTCTTCTACACAGCTTAGGGATTGGGCCAAATTTTTGCTCGGTGGTCTAATTCTCGTGTTGTCAGCTGCTCTCCTATTGATCACGTACTTAAGCTCTGTTTGGTTGTGTTGCCCAACTCTTATAAGCCTTCACTTTTCAG